ATATTTTTTTTCTCCATTTTCAAGGTACACTAAATTATAAAACAAGACTAAGTGTTCACAAAAGATAAGAGTTAATAATTCCTTGTAGGTTTTTATAAGGCTTAAATAAAAATCTTGTGTTTACTCAGATGCCTGATGTGCTCAATAAATATTCATTGTGAGAGAAGGAATGAATCTATACTAAGTCGTTTTGCCCGAATCCCTTTCTGAATAAAGCTATATATTAATTGAGAAAGACTAGCAGTGGTAAAATATAGATTTAGAAACATTTTCTCCTCTCTATAAGTTTGAAAGTAAATACGAAATGACAATTGTTTAGGACTATGTTTTAACTAATGAAGACAAGAATGCAGGGTATTACAACCTGATTACAGGATGTTGAACATTCAAATCCATCATGCATATTTTCTCTTCTCATATTACACAAGCACCTCATAAACTAAAGATACAACATGCATGTGGCGATCCTCTCACTTGTGACTAAAGTGAGGACTACCTGATATTTCAGCAAATAAGAATTCTATGCCACTGATTGTAAAAAAAAACCCATATTTTTAAAGCACAGAGTATTTCTAATTGTAAATTGTATATTCCTGCTTCAGTATTTCCAAATCCAAATCAAATGGAATTAGTGTTAGCATATATCAATATATACAAAAAATTAATCTTAATTTATGCAGTTGACTTATATTTGACATAGATTCCATAGTAAATAAATATAATCTAAACTAAAAGAACAAAATGTACAGGAAATATTTGGATATTTCTTTATTTTACTCTTATGTGGATAGAAAGTCTGGAATAAAACGGGCATACTGGCAGGTATAATTTTTTTTATTCATTTTTTATAGTGTTTTTATCTATAGTATTCACTTATCCTACATTTTCATTTATATTTGTTTCTATAATACTCTGCCCCTTTCATAAAAGAGAATGACTGCAATTGGATCTTTTGTGAAGAAGGTAAAATTAAACATTTTATCATAAAAAATAACAGTTAATGTAATAAAAATATTGTACTACTTTATAGTGTCAATAAAGCAGAATAAAAACTGAAAATTACATGTAATCATCCAAGTATTGCATAGAGTCTATATGTTTTGTTGTCAGTCTTTTCCTCTCTAGTGTTAGTTATCATGTTCAAAATGTGTACGTAATGGATATAAGAGTGTGTCTTCCTACTGAAATAAAGGAAAGAAGTGAGCAAAGACACTGACCATTTATACACCATTCCAATCCCCTGATACTCTCAACATGACCTTCCATAAATGCATGCTAAAGAGTTTAGTTTCTCTTTGATCATGTAGCCCAAAGCTAAGATGTTGCCATCTGATGATGGCACAGAGAAATGAGCAACTTAGTATATTTTGTCAATCAGAGTGCAAATGACTAGGGAAAGACTTTTATTAAGTATTTTCTCATAAGAGAAGTAGTCTTTTATCCTAATTACTTCCTAAGGAACCTTAAGGATCTGTCCAGAGTTCTGAAAGATTTCTGCTAGAGGTGACTGGCAACTTCTTTGGATGCACACTATTATTCTGATAAGTTTAGAAAGATCATTTCCAAGTTTCAAAGGAAAGATCTTTTAAAATGAAGATCAAACTCCATCAATGGCACATATTTACAATTTATTCACAAATACATAACGAGCACACATTTAACAAGAGACAGCATACCTGAACATTTCAAAACTCATAAGAAATGAAATATAACTAGTTTTCTCAAGCAACCTCTGCTTTTGACTCAATGGAAGAAGTTCTGCCCTTAGCACAGGGTAATGTTCTCTAAGGTGCTACAAACACCCATACTGGAGAAAAGGAAGAACTCAGTTCAGAGAGACCCAAAACAGTAAAATTAGTGCAGGGAATGGAAAAGCAGAAAAGCAGACTCTTCTTCCCCATCAGCTCCTGCCAATTTCTTAGCAGGGAAGTAAAGTGTTAGAAACTGTTATCTACCTAGCTACTTTCAGTTCCGCTGAAGCAGCACTAATATTATGCCTAAATAGGTAAACACAGGCATTTGTTAACCTTGTCTCAATATCCTATCTTCACAGCATCAGCTGGGGGGAGACTCTGGTGACTGGAGCCTTAGACAGTAGGACAAAAACACCCCCCAGGACCCTACAGCTTTCTTAACCAGGTCCCAAGTGCAAGCTAGGTCTGCTTGCCTTCCTGCTTTGTGCCTGAACAGGTTCTCTTTCCAAATCGCTTCAGCCAAGACTTGCTTGGTCCTTGGCATCATATTCATTGGTGGTAACTAACAGGCTTTGTGCCCTATGGAAAAGAGAAATCTGGGAGAAGAAAGGGCGGGAGCTCACAAGCTAAGGTTTAGAGAGGTTCAAGCTTCCCTGAAAGAGATGTGCTTTCAGCACCACCCGCTGTCCTCCCTCTTCCTGCAGCAACCACCAGTGTTCCTAGTGCCAACTAATCTGAAAGTGATTCTCCTCTCTTTCTCTCTCCCACATTCGCTTCTTTCCTTTCCTGGCTCTTAGGATGTTTGGCTGAGCACAGCCTGCCCCAAAACCCTGCCTTGCACACCTGGTTTCAGAGAGCAGGAACCAGTATCCACAAGCATGCAGTATAGTGCCTCTAAGCCTTTAAAGTCCTTGCCCTTTGCTTGCATCTCTTTCCCCAACAGGTTTAAACAAGGGCAGCTTCAAATTGACCAGATTTGAACCTCTCTGGTTCTGGCCACACACACCCCACCAACATGCCATTCAGCAATTTCCTCCCCCTAAAAAGAAAACAAACAAATTGAAACCCAGCAAGCCAATAACTCCTCTATCCTGGCAAAAGCCAGGGGACACTTGAGCATAGAGATATCAGCAAGCTTACCCCCCTGTTGGCTGCGCATCAAGCAGTGAAACACAATATAGCTTCCCCCATGTAAAGTTGGGCTGTATGGACCAGGGGTGCAGAGCTGGCCTTTCGGTCCCGAGCTCCCCCCCAACCCAAGATGATCTCAAGCTCATCCTCTGCGCTCAGCGTGTGTGGAACAGCCGAGTTGAGGGCGGCGTGTGCAGCAATCTTCCTGCTACTGAGAAAGGAGTGAAGGAGGGAAGGAGAGAGAGCGGAGGAGGGAGGGGTGGTAGTTTGTATTTATAGAGAATGGAGTTCTCAGGCAACTTTTTGGTGCCACCAAGTGGCACAGTGAGTTCCTTTAGGAACACAGTCTCCTGGATGAATCTGGATGGGCGTACCAGCCCTGGAGACAGATGCTCACATGTCAGGAGGGGCTGGGATGTCCCAGAGATTGGGCTTTCCCTTGGACACCTTCTTTCCATTTGACCACCTGAGATTTGAATCACTAATGTAAATTAGTCTGTGTCAGGAGAGATGAAGATAGTTATCTCTTTCCTTTTCCTACAAGTGCTAGAGGTACCAAGGGTATCTAGCAGGTTGCTTCCTAAGGGCTTAGACTCCTTGTCTCCGGAGGAAGACCTGTTTCCTTCATCATTCTCACCCCTCTACACAGTTCACCATATGCTAAGAATTGACACTAAAACCATGTGCTGCCATCCTGGATGTTCAACCTTTAAACTGGAATGTCACTTATATTCCTTGTGTCAGAGCCAGAGTCAGATCATCTCCCAATCCTTCAAATACAAAGAACTTTGCAGCATGCTAGAAAACCTTTTTCAATTGCTATCTTATCAGAAAAAAAACAAGCCTAGGCACTGCAGATCAGAACCCCCTCCAAAACAGCTCTCAAAAGTGCAAGCCCTGTTGGTTGCAGACTGGGTGTCTAATCATCCTCCTCATCCATTTCTACATAACTAGCAGCATGCATCACCCTCAACAATCCAGCAAGGAGCTTGAAATCACCTCTGATACTTTAAGAGGGAAATTCATGGGGTCGTAGACGAGCACTACGGTGTGGAACCTTAGCACTCATCTACCTGAGAACAATTCTTGAGACTTGCAGGTGGAGGAACGAAGTACATAAATGGTAAGCGACTTCTTCAAGGTCACGCATTTCACCTGAGGTCAACACAGTGCTTACCTCTGGGGAGACAGATGAACACAGTTATAGAAAAACAGAACTCCGCCAGGCTTTTTGCTCCTTTGACCACACTACACTGCCCAGTCAGTCATATTGGACATTTGTATCTTTTTTCTCTCCTCGTATTTCGATCTCAATCATCAGCCTTTTGCCAAAGTTCCCTAAAGGAATCTAAAGTAAGGGTGCCCTCTTATCTCTACTGACGGTAACAAGACTTGAATTTATAGGTCTAGAAGCTCTAGTGTACTCTTAAAAATGGCACCTGGGCAAAAAAAAAGAAACACAAAACCCCCAAAACCTCTCCCTCACAGTAGCTCCGTCATATTGTCAAAGTGTCATTGTAGAAACAGAGCACTGCCATTCACACTGACCAGGTCCCACATTGGCTGCCCTCTTGGGGAAGAAGCACGAGCAGCCCCCCAAAAACACCTAATTCCCTGAAAGACAGAGCAACAGCCACCCACTCCCCTTTGCTGAATGCACGCCTTTCTGCACATGTATCGGTATGCAACACACACACACACACACACACACACACACACACACACACACACACACACACACAAAGACAGAGAGATCCAAACGCCTTTTTTGGCTCAGTTCTCTATTTTTCCCCCTTCCTTGATTTTTTCTTTAGTTCATTTTCTATGGAAACAAGCCCACTTGAATCTCTCACTTATGCAAATGAAAGCTCTTCCGTACACCTCCATTGGAGCAACGCGGTGGCAGCCCGGGCTCCAGACTCCAAATTCATGGATGTCTATTTCACCCAGCACACGTCCTTGCAGGATGACTTTCCTAAACTTGCAGGACCTCGGAGTGTCCCTGGCTCCACTGGCCCGCCACCTGCCCACCACCTGCCCTCCTGGGTCCCTTTCGCCAATCTCCCCGCCCCTTGCCCACTGCTCTCCATCCTGAGCTGGGGGGAGGGGCCCTGGCCGCATTCTACCACCTTGGTGACTCCTGAGCTGAGAGAAAGGAAAACGTGCGGTGCTTACCAGGTGCGAGCCCTGAGCTTGGCGCCCCTCCTGCCACCACTCCTCTCGAGCTCCCTGCTTTCCCTTAGCGGCCTTGTCTGAAGCTGCACCACTAGTGGCAGCGATGGAGGCAGCAGTGGTGGCAGGCAAAACGGCTGCGGGGCGGGCGGCGGTGGCGCTCGCTCTCTTGCGCCAGCGCCTGCAGCACGTGCTGCGCTCAGGCCGCCACAGCTGGGAGCGCAACGCAGCGCCCCGCTCCTGCTCTGGCAGCACGCTGTGGCCAGCGGCAGGAGAAGGGCCGAGACAAGCTCCCGGTGGGTGACGGGGTCTCAAAGCCCCCTGGTCTCCTGGTTCAAGGAAGGGTCGTCTTGGGCTCCCTCTGCAGCTCCTCCGCTTCCCTCTGGGAGCTGCAAAAGGGGGAAAGCTGTGTAGGGAGGTGTGGGCGGTGTGTCACTCACAGAGAGAGGCTGGGGGAGCAGGTAGATAATAAGCATCTCCCTGACGGTGGCACTTAAACCCCTGACAATAATACGGAGATGGGGAGTCACTGATGGACGGTAGAGAGATTTGGGAAGTCAGGGAACCTCAAGATGAATGAGAAGCAGAGTGATTAGAAAGAAGAGTGTCTTTATAATGACATTAGTTGCTAATGATGCCATTTTGCATTTGTCTACACTTCTTACAAAGACTGTTTCTCCATACACTTACATTTTTTCTTCCCTAGCATTTAGCAAATGTCTTTTACTTCATCGAATTCCTTTGCTTCCTTTCCCATTCCTCCCTCCCACTTCCCCACCTTTCCAACTGCCCAACTGTCTGAAAGGCTGAGATTTTCTTTAAACTCCATAAAGGAACTTCAGTTCTGCCTTTGAAAATAGATGGGTATAAATTATGGGTATGGCTTGATTTAAAGAAAAGACAAGCATTGCAACATATTAGCTTTATGAATCCCATTATATTTCCCTGGCTAAATTTTGGAAGCCAGATGCTTGTAGCAGCTGCATAGAAGATTAAAGATGAGGAGACACAAATGGAGGGGGTTGGTTCTAATGCATGTATTACTAAATCATGTTATTTGTTTTCCCTCTAGGCCCTTGAGAAAAGGCAAAAATTTTTCTAATAATTTCCAAATTTAAAAGGACACTGCATATGAATCAAATACATCTTGCTAATTGTTCAGGTTGTTAGATTGCAATCCCCAAACAATCTTTTAGTCCTATAAGAGGTGAACTTTGGTGAGTTTGGTGGATTTTACTGAATAAGACAAGGAAACACTATGGAATTTCTCTCTCTCTCTCTCTCTCTCATCTGTCTATTTACATTTGTATTTAAAGTGAAGATCTGAAGATAACAAAGAGGAAACTTATGAGTAGATTATTTTGGTAATGTGATTAAATTTACCATATTAAATAGTTTGTTAGTTCAATGAGCTGCCATATTAGAGAAGGACTCAAGATCAGAGAAAGGTTTGGTTTGGAGTTTTCTCTGCGTGTAGGCAATTCAACTTACTGTACACAGCTTTTTCAGACTTCAACAGAAGGAGCCGAATCAGACCATTATGTGTCAATGATCAGGAGCTCTGGTAGCCTAGTGGTAAGAAACTGCACTGCAATTATGAAGGCATGAAGTTTGAATCTAACAGCTGTTCTGAGGGAGAAAGATGGGCAATCTACTCCCTTGCAATTAACTGCTTCTGAAAACCCACTGGAAAGTCAGCTATAGGTCAGTTCCGACTCGATGGTACATAACAACAACAGACAAGAGGAAGTTCTCATGATAAACAATAACTATTTAAATCCTTTAGTGGTCTTCACATATTTCTTTTCTCTCACATATTTCCTATCTTTTTCTCTCCCAAGGTTGTTAAGAAAATGGAATAAGACAGATATGTCAAAGCATGTCAAACAATAAGGCAGAGCCCTTGCATTAGAATCCTGGAATTGCCATAACAAAGAATCATATAAAGGGTGGCTTACAAAAGCAAAATGAATGTCTTATGGTTCTGGTGGCTAAAAGTCAGAAACAAGTGTTGCCCAATGTTTTCGCATTTGAGGGCTCAGAGGAAGAATCTGACTCATGTCTCTTCTACGTTGTGGAGATCTTGTCACCAAAGAGTTACTCTGGGTGTCTTAAAGATGTAATACCTCTTATATCTGCCTCCAACCTCACTTGATGGCTTTTCCTCTGTGAATCTCTCTGTCCTTTCTTTTATAAATACACTAGTTATATCACAGTAGGATGTACCCCACCACAAAACAGCATTATAACCCAAATGATAACATTTTCCAAGACTTTATTTCCAATAAAGGTTACATTCACAGGTTCTGGAGAGAAGGACTTCAGCATTTATTTGTTTGTTTTTGGTTTTTTGTTTTGGAGGAGGTAAGGGGAAGGACACACAATTCAAAACATAATAGCACCTCATATGCATCCTGCATGGTTGCTGTTGTAGTAGTTGTTGCATACCATCAAACTGAGCATAAATCACAGTGATCCTATGAATAGCAGTTCTGAAGTCTGTTCTATCCTGTGCCATCCTCATCATCTCTGACACACATACACCCATTGCTGCAGTCATTGTGCCAATATGTCTGGTGGAGGGTCTTCCTCTCTTTTGCTGACTTCCACCTTTCCAAGCATGATGTTCTTCTCTAAGGAAGAGCCTCCCTAAATATATGCAAAAAGCATTTTAGACAAAGCTTTGTCATCTTTGCCTCCAAAGAGCACTCTGGCTACACTTTCACCAGGACATATCTGTTTGATATACCTGTCTATTTCCTAAGCTCTAAAATGAAGTATGTGAAGGGAATTATATTATGTTGAATAACATTTTAAGATGAGAATGAAAATATAATTATATAGTCTTAAATTACTCAGTATCAATTTTAAATATAGCTTTACCTTATAATTTTAAAATGCTGAATTAGGTAAGTTAAACAAAGCATAGAAAGAAAATTATAAATTCCAAAGGTAAATAAATCCTGATATAAAATACTACAGGAGGTTTTGGGGGTTTGTGAGGGTTTTATTTGGTTGTTTCTGGTGGGTTTGTTGTTTGGGGGGTTTTGTTTTTTACTTTATTAAAGCAAATATTTTTACTTTAAGATAAATTTAGAATAAATTCTTATTTATCAAAATATTGTCATTCTTTTGAAGAGACTCCTCGACTGACTTTGAGCTAGTGGAATGGAAAGACAGAGAAGTGCTATTCCACTAGATTTCCACACTGTTATGTGCTCTAGAGTCAGAATTAACTCATAGTTTACCACTAACAGGTTTTCAGAGGCTGTCAATCTCACAGGAAGAGATTGCCCATCTTTTTCCCTGTGGAGCGGCTGGTAGATTTCAATAGCCTTCTTTTGTGTTAGCAGTGCAACTCCTTACCTACTAGGGTGCCAGAGGACCCTCCAGTGATGCATAGTAAAATACACATTTAAAACTCATTTCTACTCATAACAGCTCCAATGTAAAAATTGAAAGTTTCCTTGACTCCCCTCTTTCCCTTGTACATAATAGATAACTTATTAGGGCATCATTTGGACCCTGTGTTAAATTAAATCCAGAATTCATACTCTTCTAACCACCTTTATAGACTTCAAATCAAATTAAGTTAACATCATCTTTATCTGGTATCATTATCATTTAATCGTTATCTTTTATCTTTTTTCAGCATTCCAAACTGGCTTTTAAGCATCTTCCTTTGTTCCCTGTTAACTACTTTCAACACAACAACTAGAATGAACTTTTTTAAAGCTTATATTAAATCAAGACCCTCCAATAACTTCTCATTTCAGAGTAAAAGTTTGTTTTTTATGATAACTTTAATAATCTTATCCTCCCTGTTAATTTTTTCTTACATAATTTCTTAATATTTTATCCCTTTGTTTCTTCTATCCAAGTCACTTGGGTTGTATTATACAAACATCCTTAACATGGTCTTTGCATTAGCATTCCTAGACTATCCTACTAAATATTGTAAACTATTTGTCCTCCTAATCCCCATGTTACAATCCCTTACTCAGCTCTGCATCCCTCCACCCAGTGATTAATACATTTCAATATACTGAACAATTGACTCATTAATTATACCTACTGTTTGTCTCTTTCCATCTTCCATATTGTTGCTGTTGTTGATTTTTAATCAGTCGATCACTACTCATAGTGACCCTATGAATAGAAGACCTGAAGCCTTTCTATAACTATCATCATTCTTCAAAGTTTAAAGTTTCCAGAGGCATGTTGTTTAGAAAGGGGATGACACTCTTGCTTCCAAATCTGTCTTAAATTGGAAACTCTACCCAACACTGTCAACCATGGGTAGCATTTAAGATGCCAATGGCACAGGGTTCAGCATCATAGTAACCCCAGGTTACCTGAGTATACAAATTGACAGAAGAGTGCTGTACCATTTAGAATCCTCAAGGGAAAAGAGCTCTGCTTCTTTCATATGGTAAACACTCAGAAAGAAAGTGTTAACACACAGAAATTATTCAATAGATATTTTTAACAAATATTTATGAAACTTTAAGTATCCCTGCTCTGTGTAACAATCCAAGCCGCAATACAAATTTGTAAATTATGAGAATGATGTTAGAGGGCTGGAAGGACTACTAAGTGACCATATTTCTTTTCAGTCTGGATATACTCTACCAATCATTCTATTTTTAAGTTTTCCCTTTTAGATTTAGCTAATTCATGCTCTACAGGCTAAAAATGTTGCAATTTTAAATGTTTTGCAGCCATGTGATTAACTGAACACATCAAATACAAACTTGGAAGTACTTTATTAATCCTTTGAAAGGTTTCTTTTTTCATTGATTTCTTGGAGGAAAAGGACAATGAAGCTCTGTTTTCATCCTTTGGAAATGTTGCAAGGGGAGGCTATTTCTTGGAAAGGGACAAAGTGCTTGTAAAGATGGTTAATGATAGAAAGTAAGACCTTAATAAGAAGGATTGACATAGTGACTACAGCTGTAGGTTCAAATGTGTCAGAGATGAAGAGGATGACACAAGATTCAATTCTGTTGTTTATAAACTCATTATGAGCCATACTCGGCTTGACGCACCTAACAACAACAACACAAAAACATCTAGAGTTCTGGTGGCCTATTCTATAGAGTGTGTGTTGCTAAAGCAAAGGTGGCTCCTCTATAGCAATTTAAATATTCCAGTGGCTCCTCTAGAGAAAAGGCAATCTTCTGTGTGATTAT